TATGTTCTGAAATTTTTATAAATTGAATAACTTTTTATTAATTCACTTCCACATCTTATGTTTATATAAAAAAATTTTAAATTTTCCATATAAACGTAATATGCGAAAGTGGATTTAATATGTAGCTACAATTATCGATTAGAAAAGTAATGAGTAATTCAACCAATATAATTACTTTATATGTAAATGACCCAAATGACCTGGTCATTATTTGATGACTTGAGGTCATTTGAATTTTGGTCAAATGACCAGGTCATTTACCATCCCTGTCAGTACCCGGGGTATTTCCATACCCCATTTTAGTGCTCGGGGTATACGTATGGGGATATATTGTACGAATACATGTTTTTAATCTCTTTTACTATTATATGCCCGGATATAAGTGAGATGCCCTCATACTTGTATAAATCAAAATTTAAATTGCTGCGGGACATAGCCCACGGGGTATACATGCCGGGTAAATACGGTAATAATCTTAACATTAAAATATATTAATAAAGCGTATATTTCAAAATGTAGACGTAATGTCTATAAGTAAATTATAAGAAATTACTTTCTGCCTTTAACAAATTTTCTACAACATTAAGTTTTATTACCTTTTAAATTATGCACATTTTACAATTTATTATTTGTATATGTTGTTGAAATATAAAAAAACCAGATTATTCAGGTTTATCATTGATTTATTAACGTCATGTGCATGTAACAACGCAGATCATTCTTAATAGTAATTGTGACGGATCATAATAAAATCCAAAATTATAATATAAAATCTCGAAAAATAAATTTTTTTTTGGGGTGCATTTTTTAGAGATAGGGGTTAGTGTTAGGGGTCAGTAAATAAAATAACTCTTCATATTGTTTTTTGTCAAGTTCAGTATATAGCCAAGAATTTTTATTCTGAATCATATTATTTTGGCTATAGTTAAATGCAATGAAACTCGTAACTGTATAGAATATGACCGTATTATGCCCATGATCTAAATAATTTTTTTTGACCTTTTTGTTCATTGTCAAAGACCAAAAAAAAAAAACCTTCAGGAAGCTGTAATTGTTCTCCAGCCAAACTTTTTAACCAATTATTGAATTTCGTATAACTACTGGAGCTAATAATATAGTTATTGATATCAATGATTATTTTTGATCATACTAATAAATACTTGACTGCAGAAGTAGCCAAATTAATAACTGATACATATTTTAAATATCTTGACCCGTATATAGCATCAATTGCTACTGCATACTTGAAAAGCTTTTCCTCTCTGTGCTAATATTCACTCTCATTATATGTAAGAGTTTCTATAAACTTTACAACAACCAGATTCTATTTAGCAAACCATTTGGAAGAAGAATACTCTAAAAGACTGTCTAAATCAAACCGCTCTTGATTTTTCATTAAATTCTTTATGTCATCATACAAATTACTTGTTCTTGTTTGACGATTTCTATTATAGAATAAATGCAATCTTTTTGGTTAGTAAATTTTTCATTTAATATTCTTTTTATTGCCTCATTTTCACTTAATAATTGCTTATTATTTTCTTCTAACTCATCAATTCTTCTTTGAAGAATTTCACATATTGGATCTGAAAATAATGCTTAAAATCCAAAATCAATACAAGTTTTTTCAACTAAATCAACTTGAGCACCAAAATTGACAAAAATTTTTTCAGGCAAATCAACCTGAATGCTAAAATTGACGAAGGTTTTTTCAGGCAAATCAACCTGAGTGCCAAAATCGATGAAGATTTTTTCAGGCAAATCAACCTGAGTGCCAAAATCGACAAAGGTTTTTTCAGAGGCTTGCTGCTCATCGCCTTCATTAGAAACCTTCAATTTTTTTTTCTTGGGTCCACCTAAAGATAGAAAAGTAGTATCAGTTTCCTTAAATTGATCAATAAAAAATTTTTTAGTGACAACCTGGTTATAATGCCCTTCACACATAGAATAACTCTTCATAGAATCAAGATACTAAGTTAATTCAGGAAAATACTTAGCCATTTCTGCTATTCTCTTTGTTGCTGCAGTGGCAGACGCATTTCGCCACTTCCCTTCTCTACATTTTTCTACATGTACTAGCAAGCCACTGTCCAGGTGTTTTGTAGCAAAAAAAGCAAAAAAGCAGGGCAGATCATTGGCTTCGGGTTTTGAATTCATGGTTGACCAATGTACGAAAATATGTAATTTAAACTTCGATTTGTGAAAAAACTAGTTTGTAAGGCCTCAGGGATCCCCGGGGATTCTAAAAGGACGTGCTAGAAAATATATACTTCGATAGTTAGTTTCGAGTTTTATTACATATTCATTACGTATTAGATCGACGAATTACTGTGAATCTTTTCTATAATAGGATTATCAAATGCCAATCGCATTTCGAAGCATGATCGTAGACTATTCTAGAAACGATCTACAAATTTTGAAAAATCCCCTGACTGTAATTTAAAATGAAATCTACATTTTCTACCCTTCTAAAACCCACTTATACTTGTTTATTATAACTTTACTTTAAAACTAACCCCTAACACTAACCCCTATCTCTAAAAAAT